TCCTCAATTTGCATGGGAGCTCTTAGTGGGTTTTTTCCCCCCTGACAAATGGGAACTAGGATTTTCTCTGAAGTATCACAGGAGTGGGGTTTCAAGCCAGTATCTTAGTTATTAGGAGATGAAATGTGATCAGAAGATGAAGTCAAAAGCCTGAATTCAGCCAGGAAATCTACATTTGAAGGAAAGACTTGCAGGCGGGGGGAAAAAAAACTTACTGTTTTCTTTGTGTATTTGGAGCAAGTCATACGCATTTGGTTGCATTGAGGCCATCAGAACACCCTTCTGAGCCTGGAAGTTCAGAGGTGCCAGTGAATAGACCAGCTGGTTGTGGTGTCCAGCTGGTTTCACCTGATGAGTGGAATAGGGAAGACATGGCAGAGAACTGAATTTGAAGGTGTTCCACAGGTACCTGTCCCCCTGGTTGAGAGTATGAGAGAAGGACCTGGTAGGTCTGAAGTGTGACATCCAAGCCTGTCATTAGTCCCCATTGACCTAGCCCATAAAGGGTGGGGATGATCTGGCCAGAATTCAACCAAATGCAGGGAAATAACATTCAACACTATGAGCTGCTGTAAGTTACTGTGATTAAATGGCTTACTTAGAACTGATCTTTGCTATGGATGCAGATGCTCAAAATTTCAACCTGAACAAAAAAATTCTTGAAAAACATACTTGTCTTCTCAGAGTACTGGCTTGATCAGGACAGGCAGACTAAACAAACGTTGTTATGTGCCGTCGAGTCACTTGCGACTCATAGTGACCCTATGTACAACAATCCTAAACCCTGCTCTATCCTGTGCCAACCGCACTGCCTCTGACACTCATCCCGATTACCCCAGCCACTGAATCAATCCATCTCATAGAGGGTCTTCCCCTCCTGTGCTGTCCCTCCACCATCCCAAGTATACTGTCCCTCTCCAAGGACCTGTCCCTTCTTACAACATGTCCAAAGTATGTCAGACGAAGCCCCAGAATCCTTGACTCCAAGGAGTAACCTGGTTTAACCCTCTCCAGGGTGAATCTGTTTGTTTTCTTGGCAGTCCATGGTACATTCAATACTCTTCTTCAGCACCACAGCTCAAAGGCATCAATTCTCCTTCTATCCTCCCCAGTCATTGTCCAACTCTCTGATGCATAACAAGTGATTGCAAAGACCATGGCCTGTATCAGGCGCACCTTAGTCTCCAGAGAGACACCGTTGAGTACTTTAGAGAAGTCCCTAACAGCAGACTTTCCCATTGCAATACGTTTTTTTTATTTCATGGCTGCTGGTGCCAAGAGTTGACCGTGGAGCCGAGCAAACTGAAGCTGTGAACAATCTCAGTCTCTTCGTCATCCATCCAATTGGTCCAGTGGTGAGAATCTTGTCTTCTTGACATTGAGCCTCAGTCCATACTGAAGGCTGCAAACAAACATTAACTACCTAAAATGAGGGAGATACAAGCATAGGGTGACTGGCTGAAGTGTGCTCACAGATGTCCTTAGTTCCAAATGACCAAGAAAGCTCCCCACTGAATAGATTCCTCTTTGCCTGGTGGCTCTGAAGAAGAAGGTCTGCTGATAACGTGATTCAGTTGTGGGGGATGATTGTAAACAGGATTAAGTCATGGTTGTGAGAACTCTTCTGTAGCAGCTGTAACTGAAAGTGGGCTGATGGGGATGCACTGTTGGACTAGAGGTCAGTGGCCAGATCTAACACCCCTTAAAGGTTTGGCTCATGCTGATAGATCATGAGACTCAGAGCAAGGGAATCATCTATCTGGAAAATTTTGTCAGAGGCCAGAAAGGGTGCAGGCAAGACTGGTATTGAAGAACATGACCATATTAGAGGGATACCCACAGCCCATCCGAATAACCTCACTTTGAGAACTCTGCCCACTCCAAAACTAATTGCCAATGACTGTTTCCAACTGGTAAGATATTTAGGAAGTGAGATTTTATTGCTCAAGTATGAAAAGACCAATGGTTAGAAGATTACTGGCCTTTGTGGTCATTGTCTTTGTAACTCCCACCACATGGCTGCAGGTAACTGTGGCCCACCATGAGGCTTGGATGGATTGTTCATGTAAAGAAAATTGCAGACCCTTCTTGGGGTGAAACCATATAAGTAAGATGTCAGACCCTTGACAAGAGAACGTGTCAGTTTTGTCATTCTGCTAGGTTAAAAGAGTGAATCCCAGAGAAGGAGGAGGCCCCCTCTTGGCCACCACCAAGTGAATGGAATATATGTCTTTTAAGTGGGGTCCCCTCCCTGGAGTACAGCACCTCCTGGTCCCGGGAGACACAGTGGGAGCACTAGAGATGAGGAGAAGCAACTGCACAGAAGTGGTCCCAACAGGAGCCAGTGTAGACCAAGGCTTCTTGGTCTGTGCTCAAGAACAGAGCTGAAGAGGTCCATGTTGTTGCAGAATAGGACAGGACAGAGCCCACGTGATGGGGTGAGGGGCAGAACTAAATTGCCAGTGCAGTGGTCTATCCTGATCAAAGAATGATGTCCTGAGCTACTGTGACAAGTAGTTTTTGAAAACATAGGCTTATGTTGTGATGACAAGACGATTCCGACCTCAAATAACCACATTCCTTTTCTAAAATTTTCATTATTATGTTTTTTGTTACCAGAGTTTTTCCAAATCCAATCTTTATTTGACTTTGGAACATTGCATATAAACATGCAGATATAGTTTAACCTCATGCATACCTACAAAATAAACCAATCCTAGGATGTGACTCCAGCAGTTAAGAGTTGTATAGTGTTTGCATTTTTCACAGTTATGTGATTACTCTGCTTGTGAAAAATCCTGGATAGTTTGGATTATTTTTGGAATATGTGTCTAGTCAGAAATTGATGAAAACTGCCCAGATAGTCCTTTCCTTTTTTCTTCACATGTTTCATGGTGACATCATAACAATATTTGGATCCATGTTTGTAAGAAACTGAAGCTCCTGGTTTAAGAAAAACTCCAGCTTTCCCAGTAAAAATTTTGGCAACTTCTCCATCCTGTTTGATTCTTTTCTTCTGAAGCAGAAATAGGGTTTGCATGGCCAGATATGGTCACCCTTTGTTTTTTAATGGCTCACTTCCTCTTGCTAAATCACTGTGTATGTGTGTGAGAGATTTGAGTGAAAGTTTGCAAAACAGGTTTTCATACACATTTTGCTTTTTGGCATTGATTGCAGTCCCCTCACTGTGACAGCATCCTTCCCACTTCTACCCTGTTTTTCTTGCTTCCATTCATCCCTTGCCTAACCCTGCCTGCCTTCTCAACCTTATGCTTGAGTGAATGTTCCCTTTTGATTTTCTGTGGCAGAGTGTCCTGAGGAGTGCATATGTCTCTGATGTTACTGTTCTTCATGTAGACCTGGCTGGGATCTATTTGAAAGGTGACCCAAGAAGTGAGTTTAGTCAAGATCTATAGCCTTGCCTCCCACCTGTCTCTCAGGTAACTGTGGGCTGTTTTTCTTTTATGAGTTTTGTTCTACATTGTACTACTACCCAAGATTGTTCTTTGTAATTCCTGTTAGGTTGACCAGTAGTAAATAACAGGGCATCATGGATTGAACAGTAACTCTTCAAAATGTGCATTAGTTTAGCTAGGTCATAATTGTTGGAATAGTGTAGTAATCATAACTTCTATAGTGACTTCTGATGACCAAGTGTAAGAAACTGCTGCAATCCCAAAAGCATGTGGTTTGAATCTACCAGCTGTTCCCAGTATACACAATCTCCCATGCAGTTTACTACTTCCGAAAATGGGCTGGAGGGTCAGCTATGTGTTGTTCCCATTGGAAGGCACACAACAACCACCTTTATGATATTTATCAGTTAAGATTGGAGTCATTTCTGTAATGATGTACTCATCTCCTGTGATGTGATTAGCCAGTCGGAGTAGGATGTGATGCTACACTCGTAATTAGGTTACCAGTCTGGCTGTGATGTAAGGGGAGTTTATCTAGGTGTGCCCTGGAACAATTTTTGTCTTACAAGAGAGAAAATGATGCAAAGGCCTCAGTACCATTGAGAAAGAACACCTGGAGTGGAGTATGTCCTCTGGATACAGGTGCTTGTGCTGGGCAATTCCTTGACACATGGCCAAGATCTCCAAGGAATGCTGAAGCAATGAGTTCCTTCCTCCAGAGTAAAGAGAAGACTCAGGTCCCTTAGTTGAGTTGGGACCTCTAGCCTCCTAACAAGAACCCTTCTGTTAAAGCCATCTACTTGTAATAACTCTAAAAGCAGCACTTGTTCTGGGCTCAGGACTATGGTGGCTAGAGGTCATGTGGCCTGATTTCCTTTGCTCCAGGTGGGTAGAAATCAATAGATGGCAGCTCACAGACTTTTAAGACCCGAGCCACTACTGACTATAGCAGCATGTGAACAACCTGCTTTGTGGACTGTACTCCTAACTGATCTTTGTGTTCCCAAGCCTGGGAATCCAAGTGTCCAGAAACTGCAGAATATTTTCTAGGTCTATCCACGCTGTGAGCTTTTTTTGAAGTATTTGTTTTGTCTAGTTCTATTTACACTATGAGTTTGTTGTGTTTTTTTTTTTCACTCTGTATTATAATTGTTTAGATTGTTGGTACTGGTTCATAAAGTTCTTTCCAAAAACAGTCTTTATTTCAGTTTTAAGATTCACATAAACACACATTTTTAGCTAAATGTACTCTGACAATTCTATTTTATAATAGGCATTACAACTTAGTATTTGTCTTGGAAATTTATTAAAGTAATGGTAAACAGAAGCAAAAACCCCACAAAAGCAAGGATACATGCAGGTTATAGCAAAACTGAAGTTTATTAGAAAACTGTATCAGAAGAATCACAAAACTTATCTCCATAATCAGTGGCAATTTCTTTAAACTCTAGAGGCAAATAAAAACGAAACTCCAGTTACTACCATTAGAGTAAAAATTGCTGATTTTAATTGTGTACTTCCCTGAATAGATTTAGGTCCTAATATTTTAAAATTGTTAACTTTAAATTCCAAACTTACACAGAATTAGTCTAAGTCATAGAGTAAAGAATTCTGAAAACTGAATGCACAGTGAGTTACATGATCTTTAATAATTTGTACACTACCATCCTGCATATTGGTTTCTTTTATGCTTTCAAAAGCAGGTATATGGTGAGCTGTAGTTTTGTTCTGTAGTAAAGATGGTTGATCTCGATCTAATACTTTCTCTCCAGTTGCTACTGGTTCTTTTAAATTGGGTTTTTCCTCATTTATGTTAACAGCACATTTTTCTTTCAGGAATCCAGGTTCCATTTCTGACTCAGATTGCTGAGATTTTCCAGATAGCACTTGTGAAACATCAACAGACTCTTGCTGCAAGCATGTAACTGAACCACTAATGTCTACTGCTAGTGATGAATCAGAACTTCTGGCATTTCCCACGTTATGCTCTTGTTCATATACGGTGGTGCTTAAATGTTCTATATTTTCTTCTTCAGCTGTAGTGGTGATTAGATGTTCTGTATTTTCATTTTGAGTCAAATTATTTCTTCCATCATAGGCCCCTTCTTTTACATCAAGTTGATCAGAGTTAGGACATTCTTGTGACTGTGTATGAATTTGAATATTACTGTCAGTGATCTGAAGAACTTCAATTAATGGTGGGGCTACAGATATTTTCTGTTGGAGTGGAGAACTCAAAACATCTTCAATTAACTCATTAACATTTTCTTCATTGACAAACAACTTTTCCGTGGCTGTCATCCACGGGGTACAGGAGGGAGAGCCGTAGCCGGTAGTCTGGCTTCCTCGAGTCAAGGCAGAGCAGCTTTCCCGTTACCTCCAGTGTGGCCTGCTCGGCCGAATGCAGCAGCAGCAGCTCAGTGGTGACTACCAGCTCGCGGGGCACGGTACTTGGCCGCTGTGAGCTTTTTTTGAAGTGTTTGTTTTGTTTGTTTTTGGCAGATCCCCAGCTGTCTTTTTAATTATTATTATTTTTGTATGTGTGTATGTAGCATCAAATCTGATCTGACTGGTACAGGAGGATATTGCCCCTCCTTCTCCAGCTGAGCATCTAGTGGACTTGAACCGCATACCTCTGGGATTGCAGTGCAGCTTCTTGCCACTAGGCCACCAGAGCTCCCCTCCCAGCTGTACTTTAAACTTGCATAGTGCCCCTTCACATGTGGGCCTCAGAGTCCATGTATCCACTATGTCAATGGGCACTGTGGTGGTTTGCTTGGTTTTGCTACAGTTACTAATGCTGTGATGGACATTAGTGTTCATGTACTTGTTTGTGACAAGGCTCTTGTTATTTTAGTATATGTATCAAGTAGTGGGATTGATGGAGCACAGTGTCTGTTTCCAACATCTTAGGGAAGCATCACACTATTTTCACCATGGCTGCAGCTTTCCACAGCCTATAAATGCAGGCTATACACATAGATCTCACCTGATGGCATGCATAGGAATCAAAATAGGTTTCATTTGTGGAAAGACTCGGTGGAGAAGCTCAATATCAGCAGTGAAAACCAGGCTGGGTGCTGATTGTGGGACAGACCTCCAACTACTCATATGCAAGTTGAAGCTGAAGTTGAGGAAAATTAAATCAAGTCCACGGAACCCAAAATTTGATCTTAAGTCTATCCCACTCGAATTTCAAAACCATCTCTGGAACAGGTTTGAGGGCTTGAGCACCAATCATCTCAGGAACAGGATTGAGGGCTCGAACACCAATGAGCGTAGACCAAATGAGCTCTGGGAGGATATCAAGAAAATCGTCCAGGAAGAATGCAAAAGATCATTACAAAGGCTGAAAAAGAAGAAAAGACCAAGATGGATGTCAGATGAGACTCTGAATATTGCATTAGAGCGCCGAGAAGCCAAAGCTAAAGGAAGAAACCAAAGAGCTAAACAGAAAATTTCAAAAGGCAGCCCGGGACGACAAAGCAAGATGCTATAATGAAATGTGCAGAGAGCTGGAGTCAGAAAATCAAAAGGGCCGAACTCGCTCAGCATTTCTAAAGCTGAAGGAACTGGAAAACAAATTCAAGCCACGGGTGGCAATACTTAAGGATACTTCGGGCAGAATATTAAATTATTCAGGAAGTATCAAGAGAAGATGGAAGGAATACACACAGTCACTGTATCAGAAGGAATTGGCGGACACAGAAGAATTTCATGAAATGACATATGAGCAAGAGCCTATGTTGATGAAAGAGGAAGTTCAAATTGCTCTGAAGGAATTAGCAAAAAACAAGGCTCCAGGAGTTGACAGCATACCAATTGACATATTTCAACAAACAGACACTGGTCTGGATGTGCTTACTAAGTTGTGCCAAGAAATCTGGAGAACAGCCAGCTGGCCCACTGACTGGAAAAGATGGATATTTGTTCCCATCCCAAAGAAAGGTGACCCAACAGAGTGTGGAAATTATCTAACAGTATCATTGATATCACATACAAGCAAGATTCTGCTGAAAATTATCCAAAAACATTTGGAACAATATGTCAACAGAGAACTGCCTGATGTGCAGGCTGGATTTAGAAGAGGTCATGATGGTACTAGGGATATTATAGCTAATGTTAGATGGATCTTTGCAGAAAGCAAAGAATACCAGAAGAATGTCTTATCTGTTCTTCATTGATGATGCAAAAGCTTTTGACTGTGTGGATCACAATAAGCTGTGGCTGACTCTGAGAAGAATGGGAATCCCAGAACAGAGGCAGTTGTCAGAACAGAGCAAGGAGACACTACATGGTTCAAAATCAAGAAGAGGGTTCGTCAGGGATGTATTCTGTCTCCATACCTTTTCAATCTGTATGCAGAACAGATCATCCAAGATGCTGGGCTATACAAAGAGGAATGTAGCATCAGGATTGGTGGAAGAATCATCAACAACCTGCATTATGCAGATGACACAACTCTGCTTGCTGAAACTGAGGAGGACCTGAAGCGCTTGCTGCAGAAGATCAAGGACTACAGCCTCCTATATGGACTGAAGCTCAACATCAAGAAAACAAAGATTCTAGCCACTGGGCAAATTTGCCGCATCAGTATGGATGGTGAAGAGACTGAGATAGTTAACAGTTTTAGTTTACTTAGCTCCACGGTCAACACTCTTGGTAACAGCAGCCAGGAAATCAAGAGACAAATTGCATTGGGAAAGTTGGCTGTGAGGGACATCTCAAGAGTACTGAAGAGCAATGATGTCAGACTGGAGACTAAGGTGTGCCTGATCCGGCCTATAGTCTTCGCAATTACGTGCTATGCATCAGACAGTTGGACAGTAACTAGGGTTGATAGAGAATTGATGCCTTTGAGCTGTGGTGCTGTAGAAGAGTGTTGAATACACCATGGACTGCTAGGAGAACAAACGGTTTGTCCTGGAGAGGGTGAAGCCAGAATGTTCCCTGGAGTCAAGGATTCTGAAGCTTTTTCTGACATATTTTGGGCATGTTGCAAGGAGGGACTGGTCCTTGGAGAGGGACATCGTGTTTGGCAGAGTGGAGGGGCGGCGAAGGAGAGGAAGACCTTTGATGAGATGGATCGATTCTGTGACTGGAGAGGTGGGAATAAGTGTGTTTGAGATGGCTAGATTGGCACAGAATAGAAGAGCGTATAGAGCTCTTGTACATAGAGTCACAATGAGTCGCAAGCAACTTGATGTCACAACAACAACAACATCATTTAGAACACAGAATGCACATGCCCTCAAGGATTCCACCCTTCATGACAGCGTGGGAATGAGAGAGGACTTTCCAGCACAGGTAGGAAGTAATCTTTAGTTTACAAACCAGCCAAACTCCAATAATTGATATAGGAAGTCAGTGTGTGCTAAGCATGTCAGGGGACCAGACTGTACATTCTTATCACAGAAAAAAAGGCAGAAGTGAGCCCTCTTGGTATGGCACGCCAGTACATGCAGTAAGTCCCTTAGTGGGCCAGACAGCCCACCAGGTGGGACAAGCCATAACCCATTTAGGGAAAAGAGATGACCAGAGTGAAAGGACTGGGAGATGTGGGAGGAGAGAAGAGAAAGAAAGACCCTAGAGGACAATGTCTGAGGGTCCCTGGAGAGTAACCTGGAAGCAGAGCGGGTGGACTTAGGAACTGCTGAGAAGGCAGAAGCAGAGCTAGATGGCTCACTGCTGTTTGTGTTAACCTTGGGAAAAGTCTGAAGCTGAAGCAAAAGTCCTTCCTCTGGGTCCTGCTGCCTCCCATGAGGAAATGAACCCTGGGACTTAGACAGTGAGGCTGAGGTCATTGTGCAGATTAGGGCCCTGCTGGGGTACTTAACAGTCCCAGGAAGAAATCATAACGCTTGGGTCCAAGGCAAGTACTAACTGGTTGACATAAAGGCAAAATGGCCCCTTTATCTTTGGAAACTTTCAAGTTATCCTTTTCTCCCTCCTACCCCTGTCGTTGATTTCACATGCAAGCAGGATTCTACTGAAGAATATCCAAAAAGACTGGAACAGCACATCAACAGAGAACTGCCAGAAGTCCAGGCTGGGTTTAGAAGGGGTCGTGGTACTAGGGATATTGCAGCTAATGTTAGATGGATCTTGGCTGAAAGCAGGGAATACCAGAGGAATGTATATCTGTGTTTCATTGACTGTGCAAAGGTGTTTGACTGTGTGGATCATAACAAACTGTGGCTGACTCTGAGAAAAATGGAAATCCCAGAACACTTGATCGTGCTAATGAGAAACCTATATTTGGACCAAGAGGCAGTGGTCAGAACAGAGCAAGGAAACACAGTGTGGTTCAAAATTGGGAAGGGCATGCGCCAGGGATGTGTCAGGTCTCCATACATTTTCAACCTGTATGCAGAATAGATTATACAGGAGACTGGGCTCTATGAGGAGAAATGTGGGGTCAGGATTGGTGAAAGATCTATCAACAATCTGCATTATGCAGATGATACAACCCTGCTTGCTAAAACTGAGGAGTACCTGAAGCGCTTGCTGCAGAGGGTCAAGGACTGCAGCCTTCAATATGGATTGAGGCTCAATGTCAAGAAACAAAGATTCTCACCACTGGACCAATTGGCAGCATCAGGATGGATGGTGAAGAGATTGAGACTGTTCACAGCTTTAGTTTGCTTGGCTCCACTGTCAACACTCTTGGCACCAGTAGCCAGGAAATGAAAAGACGTATTGCAATGGGAAAGTCTGCTGTTAGGAACCTCTCCAAAGTACTGAAGAGCAATGGTGTCTCTCTGGAGACTAAGGTGCATCTGATACAGGCTGTGGTTTTTGCTATCACTTGTTATGCATCAGAGAGGTGGACAATGACTAAGGAGGATAGAAGGAGAATTGATGCCTTTGAGTTGTGGTGCTGGAGAAGAGTATTGAGTATACCATGGACTGCCAAGAAAGCAAACAGATTCATCCTGGAGAGGGTTAAACCGGGCGGCTCCTTTGAAGCAAGGATTCTGAGGCTTCATCTAACATACTTTGAGCATGTTGCCAGGAGGTAACAGTCTTTGGAGAAGGACATAATGCTGGAAGGAAGAAGGGATGGCACAGTAGAGGAAAACCGGGAAAGAGCTAGATTGACTCAGTGACTAGGGCAATGGGGGTAGGTGTGTGGAAGACAATGAGACTGACAATTAGTCACTAAAAAGATGTCATTGCAAAGATGCTTTGGATACAGAAATATGTCTCTTGAAAGAGTTCTATAAGTCCTGGGGTTTTTCTAACTAGAGGGGAGTATTGTGAATGAAATGTACAAAGGGTGAACTTGGGATAAATGGAAG